GAGGACGTATGTTGAGCCAGGGATTCCGGATGGGGAGAGTACAATTGGGCATGCGTAGTCGGGGGAAAGGTGTTGGCGATTTTGGATATCCGAGTTGTTTGTAGTGAGTACCTAATGTACTGGCTTTATGGGCCGTGGGCCAGGCACCTAGTATGTACCTACTATATGTAGTGTTGATCGGCTTGGTCAAATGGCGTGTAAATAAGTGCGCATGGAACAAGGTTGATTTGAGGTGTATCTACTCTATGTATACGCACGGAATAGTGAAAATGGTAACTTATTCAAACGAGAATTAAAATGTGCATTTCAGAGAGATGGAGAGAGGGGGGGAGCAATGCCGCTGGTACGTCCGGGCTCTCGAGTTCTTGGGGATCGGTTTCACGCTCGAGTCCAGTTCTGGCCCATTTCTTATTACAGTCTATAGTTGCTGCACTTGTAATCCGACAGCCACAATTGGCAAACATTAATGACAAAGTGATTTGATTTTCACCCTCCAGCCCGAGTTATACTGCACGGTGTATACTTAGGTACCTCCTCCTATGGAAGTATCTATGTACATACGGAGTACATAGGTACCTCCATTGTCCAACTGTTCAGTGTTGACGGCCACCGCCCCGCTTCACGGCTGTCGGCCCCCCTCCCCATTCGGCAGGAGCGGGGTACGGCATGTGAGCCCGTCTCCTGTTCGCTCCTTCAAGCTTGTTACATAGAATTGACCATCTCGCGCGCAGCCCCTTTTCCGAGCATCTTCGAGACCAACCCTGTGCTCGGCGCGTCGCTATGGGAGCATTAGTACACAAAGTCCGCTCTCGGAAATAGGCTTTGCCTTACTGCTCTTGTCGTTTTCCTCTTTCCGATTACCTACGTTGCATGCGCTCGGACCTCGCTGTACCACGTGGCCGAGGATGCTGGCAAGACAGCTGACATCATAACCTACTTGCGACAACGGCGCCCTCTCTCTCGTGCTCCCACGAGCCTTTGTGATCCCCATTTCACCCATCTCTCGCGACGCCCCTGGGGCCGAAGCGTTCTGGGAAAATGCTGCTCCTGCACCAGATCGGCAGTGTCAAGGTCGGCGAGGTGATCCGATACAACCTCACGTACACGCCCTCGCAAGATCGAATCCTCCCCTCCCCCGAAAAACTACATGTTCGAATTCGAAATACCTCGACCATCGCCCTTCGCGCTGCCTTTGTCCACGGGCCATACACCCTGTCCGTTTCGGCTTATCCTTCTCACTTCAACCCCAATGAAAAGTTCACCAATCCTCGCCGGTACGGAGCCCCCCGGTTCGAGCCCATGCTTAAGGCGGGGGGATCCTGGGAGTGCGAGCTGATCGTCCCAGACAACATTCGCCAAGACGCCGGCATTGGAAGCAACAAAACCTTTGGAAAGGGTCCTGAACATGATGGAGAATGCGCAAAGTGGGTGATTGAAATAGCCTCCCAGGTCATATTCTCTACTTCAGCTGCCGTGGGCTTCGATGTAGTCGTGGCGCGCGACCATAAATCTCTCAACCTCAGCCAGTCGCTGTCGTCGATTGGGGGCAACTTCAGCCAAGTGCCGCAGCCCGGAAAACTGATCGATCACCGGCAAAGTGCCGGTGCCAAGGATGGGCACCATCCCGGTCAGCCAAAGGGTGTCTTCTCAAGGGCCATACAGCTCAAGGTGGAGGACTCCGCGGAGCTTTGGAACACGCCCAGCCTTCCCGGCTGTGATGATGACGCTGTAAACAAGAGCGCCGGAAAGGACGCCGGTGCTAATCAGCCTGTGGAGAACGTGGTGAACACTGGTGATCCGGGGATCGAGGAGCTGAAACAACCGAAAAAGCCACATGGGAAGAAAAAAAAGGTCCATCTTGTCATATTGACGCATGGTCTGCACAGCAATTTAGGCGCTGACATGCTTTACATGAAAGAAAGCATCGATGCGGCCGCTAAGCAAGCACGCATTGATGCGAAGGCCAGAAGGGCAAAGGAGAGAGCTGCAAAAGAGCCAAGGGCCGATAACCAACCTGGTGGCACAATGAACGAGGATATGCCGTCTAGAGAAGGCCAGGATAACATCGCAAATGATGTGGACGGTGATGATGACGACGATGACGATGAGGAAGTCATCGTGCGTGGATATCCTGGAAATGCTACAAAGACAGAGAAAGGCATCAAGTACCTTGGGAAGAGATTATCGCGGTATATCCTATCAATGACGTACCCAGACCAACCATTTCTTCCGATTGCGAAAGGTGCTCTGAAAGGCTGCGCCGCTGAGGGTGCTGTTGAAGCCCTAGCGGATGATCACTATCATCACAACTATAGTCTCCATCCTCATCATCTCTTTCACCAGGACCAGTCACACCAAAATAGCACTCACGAGGTGAAACAAGCGCACAAGAATAGTGACATCCAAGCCGATACTACCAAGGCAAAGCATGATAGACACTACAGAAGTTATCAAATCACAAGCATAAGTTTCGTCGGACACTCTCTCGGCGGTCTGATTCAAACATACGCTATTGCTTACATACAGAAACATTCGCCCAAGTTCTTTGATCTTATCCAGCCCGTGAATTTCATTGCGATGGCGACCCCTTTTCTGGGGTTAAGCAACGAGAACCCACTTTATGTTAAGTTCGCCCTTGACTTTGGACTTGTAGGCAGGACCGGACAAGATCTGGGCTTGACCTGGAGAGCGCCTACCATTGCTCGGATTGGATGGGGCGCTCTTGTCAGCAACCTCGGCGAGTCCGCGCATAAGAAAGTGTACGGCGAATCACAGCCCGAGTCGAAACCACTGTTACGGATATTGCCCACCGGCCCGGCTCACACGGCCCTGAAGAAGTTTAGAAACCGCACAGTCTACTCCAATGTGGTCAATGACGGAATCGTGCCGCTCCGCACAAGCTGTCTCCTGTTTCTCGACTGGCAGGGTCTTGGCCGCGTCGAAAAGGCTCGGAGAGATGCCGGCTTGGTAGAAACGGTTGTTGGGTTTGGGTGGGCAGAACTGACCGGCACGAACATGGCGTCATCGAGACGCAAGAAGCAGGTCGCCTTGGAAGAAGAACAGCAAGACGATTCTGGCACCACTACTCCCAAGGGCTCTCCCAAAGAGGGCATGCGACAAGTTCCGCAGCCTTCTAGTGATGCGATCCATGAGGACGAACGAGCTAGCATCCGTTCTGTACCGCGGGCCCATAGTGATGAGGATGACGAGCCAGGTGTAGAGAACAGCAGCAGCAACAACCATCACAATGGTCCAGGCTCTGGTATCAATTCTCGCTTATCGACCTTTTTTGGTCTTTTCAAGAGCCAAGATCCGCCCAAAACCCCAGTTCCGACGGCGAAGCAGAAAAGGATGCTGCGGCGAGGACAAACTATGCCTCTTGTCAGCCCCGACATAGCCGCCTCGAGCTCCACTGACGAGTCTGATAGAAAACAGCAGCAGCCGCAGCCAAGCAAGGCTACTACCGGTCATGAGGTTGATGGCTATGCCGATGGCATGTCGGCACCGCCAAAGACGACTTTCTTCGAATCAGCAGGCGATGTGCTCAACCCCAGTATCCCAAGCGAAGAATACCTACTTGACCCGTCTAAGCGATCAAGAACCATCTTTCACGACCGAGTATACCATCCGAGTGATATCCCTCCGCCGCCGCCGCCGTTGAAGAAACGCCAGTCGACGTTCGGTCGTCGCAGCAAGAATTCTGCCAAGATTTCGGGCTCGCCGCAACCATCAGAGCCAGGCAGCCGTTCAACGTCTCCTTTCCCGCCCAACAATCCGCTGCATGCGGATTCCAAGGAAACCGCCTCGGGCAAAGACCACGGCGACGACACAGCCAAGACCAGCCCCGAGCTCAACCCCTCGGAAACCGTAGACGCTTCCAACATGAGAGTAGAAGAGAAAATTGCCCGAGGCTATCATCGGGATCTGTCGTGGCGCAAAGTACTGGTCAAATTGGAGCCAGACGCGCATAACAACATGATTGTGAGACGCATGTTTGCCAACGCACATGGCTGGCCGGTGATCAAACACATGGTCGACGCACACTTTAGCGACTCTGAGACCGCACGCGTTCGCGATGAAGAAGAGCCCAACATGGATCGAGCATTTGAAGTCCATCACGGACCAGCCGCCGATGGACGAGAAGTAAGGCCCTTGTACCAGCTGCGCAATGAAGGTGGCCACGCCAGCGGCAAGCGCGAGAGCGGTGGAGAAGTCAACGAAGCCGGCGAAGAAGCTTTGGACGAGGTACCCGAGCTGCCCAAGAAGAGCGACAGCGAGAGCATTCCCCTCGGGCGTCCGCGACTCGAAGCCTCAGACCGAGCGGATTCCATGACGTGGAGTGACCGAGACTGGGTGGACACCGATAACGAGAGCGATATGGAAGTTTACAGTGGGGGAAAAGCTGGCCAGCAGCAGCAGTCGCAGCAGTCGAAAGGGTCGTCAGATACAGCTGGAACTACCTCCCCGACTCTGAGTCCCTCATCGTGGAAGTGGGCAGCCGAGAAGATTGTGGGCAAAGGGGCCGTGGGGAGTCGGAGCAAGAGTCCCCAGTCGTAACGGGGATTATGGTGACGGCTTTGCTTTGCTGCGGCATTATTCATCTGTGTGTACATAAAAGCTTGGATGGGAGGGCTTGTAAGGGGCTGGTGCGGTGCTGTCTGTATCTGTGTGTATATATGAGATTGAGCGAGAGGCGGTTTCCAAGAGGCATGTTTTCACTCATGATGGAGAGGATACTTTACCTTTTTAATACACTAGATTCGCGTCCTGAGGGAAGGTTTTTCCATCGAGTTATGGTCATCATGGGTATGTCGCGTGTTCAGTCACAGCAATGTGTACGGACAACTCGCTTACCAGGTATCGCACCTCGAAACGTTTTGGGCAAAAATGAAGAACAGCAAAAATGTTCTGTGCCCGACTCGGTGGAGGATCTGTGTCCGCTGTCAGTGTAAATGATGAGGGCCAAAAAGATGGTCAAAGTGGTTAAAAAAAATCACGGCTGGACGAACAGGGAATCGAACCCTGGACCACTCCCAATTGTCGCACTGTATGTCAGATGTCGAATTTCTGCAGTTTCATCATGCTAAGGGAGTATTATACCACTAAACCATTCGCCCGGTTGAATGTGATGTCCTCATGACATTGCATATTATAAATGTATTGACAAAATGTTAGGTACTCGCATGCTCGACACCTTTGTCGGTGGCTTTCTGCCATCTCATCACTCTTCGTAGCAGCTACCACGGCGTTTCTAGAAGCCATATGAGCTCAAAAAAACACACAATCTCATCAAATCTTGCGCTTCTAAGTTCTGTGCAATGTGCAATGTGCATCGCTGAGGTTATTTCCCGCGCGGCAAGTAAGTGGGCCTGATCGACAAAGTTCAAGAATCAAACGTCGGCAAGTTTGCCGCCTCAGACGCTCCAAGAAGGCGCGCACCGTGCACGTGATGATGCAGGGCCCTCTGGCAAGTACGTCACCAGTGGCCCACGACATGCCGTCAAGGATTTATGTACACCAACGACGAAAGTAAGCAAGTTGCTGTCACGAATCCCTTTATTCCTGCTAGCTCTGCTCTTCCTGCCCTTTCTGCGTCCTCATCGAAGCCCACGCGTCACGGCGATCCTCTCTCTGTTGCCGTTCCGCGCCATGGAGCAATAGGTAGAATCCGCCCTGCATCTCATCCCTGGCCGTTTCCACTTTGTCGCAAAGCTGCGCCCTTCTGCGCTTCCTCCCGAGTCCCGAGTCCCAGGACGAGGAAACTACCTAGGACGGCCTCCCATCGCTGCGCCTCTCTCAATCATTCACATCTTTGCGCTCACTCTCTTTGAAAGTTTGAAAGTGAGGAACAAAGTGCATATTCTGCAAGAGTATCCTAATTCTCTGCAACATATTATAAAAGAATCGATCGTCCGTCGTTGGTTCTCGTCCAGGGCGCCTCTCCTCCAGCATCTCGATTTCATTGTTGTCACGTCACGCTCCCGCTCTGATAAGCCGAGAACAACAACAAAACTCAAACTCAGAGGGGACTCAATATACCGAGAAATCATGACAATGCGCCTCTACCTCCTCCCCCTTTCCACACGGCGGAGCCTCCTCTACGCCCAGCGCTTGCACCACGCGACCGCCGCCCCGACTGACACCTCGTACTTCGACCGCGGGGCCGCCTGGGCAGAGCGCACGTGGTCCAACTGGGAGAAGAAGGAGTCAGGATGGCAGAAGAAGGTGGTTGAGTACGGGAACCACGCGTTTCGGCGGATACCCTACGAGGAATGGGGCCTCAAGTCTGTGCCGCTGCTGTCGAGCCGGGAGCAGCTGCGGCGGCAAAGTGCGGACAAGGGCGAAGAGCAGAAGCAAATGCAGACACAGACGCAGGGACTGGACCAAGATCACGTCGAGCTGGTGTTTCCGCAGAGTGTCATGTCTGAGGCTCAGGCGGAGGACGCGGTGAGAAGGATGGGCAGTGAGCGGGATGGGCTGCATAGGCGGAGAATGTTGTGGTGTATTGTGGGAATGCCCATCACGATTCCCTTTGCGCTTGTGCCAATGTGAGTTTTCCCTTCATCTTCTCCCCTTCTGCGTTCCCCCTTGGCTAGTAATGGGGGGATTGATCCTTGGTCAATCTGTCGGCCATCATTATTTGAGTTGTACCAATTTTTTTGTATGCAGAAAAGACTCGTGTGAAGCACGCGCATTTTCTGCGTCTTCTTTACATGGTCAAAGCAAAAGACTTGAAGAAGAAAAAAAAGAAAAAAAAAAGAATCAGGCTCTAACGCGGAAATGCCTTGCAGAATCCCCAACTTGCCCTTCTTCTACCTCGTCTACCGCGCTTGGTCGCACTGGCGCGCCATCGCCGGCGCCAAACACATCCAATTCCTGGTGTCCAAGAGGCTTCTCCGACCGACGGCATCCCCCGTCCTCGACGCTCTATACAGCCAAACAGGCGCCCAGCAACAAACACAGGCTCCCACTCCCTCGGATCCGAGTTCCTCACGCTCTAGCCCTACCTCGCAGGAGACACTGCTCCTGACTCAAGCCCAGGTGCGGAGCTTCTCCGAAAAACTGGACGTGCCAGCTCTGGAAATCGAGCTCGAGAGAGCAATCTGCCAGGTCGAGCAGGCCATTAGCAAGGACATTCAGGAGGAGGGGTCGAAGCCCCCGGGGGCTGAAAAAGAAAAGGAGTCATGAAAATATGAATATATGAAGGGTAATGTAATGTAACTGGGATCTGTATGATGACGCATATACGCTTTTCCTAAAAAGTCTTTGGCTATTTCCAGTTCATAGAGGGATGGTTATATACAGCTGAGCGCGGGGGTTTTGCGCGCTATTTATGCGTATTTGAATGGGTATATCTCTTACCCGTGTAGCCTCCCTTAGAGCCTCTATGAGAGCATTTTTCCACCCTGAAGCATGTCTGCACCTCTGCAAGATTCTCTTGGGTAGCTAACGGGACGAGTCATGGATGGCCTGCTGTTGATTCGAGGATTGTACTCTTGGTGTGGACGTCTTTTGTTCCTTTGTTACACCGAGGGAGACGGAGAGGGCCAAAAATCAATGACAGTCGTGAAATCTACGTATTCCAGTTGCTTGATAATTGATTACGGAGTGAGACCCTGCCGGGGGTTCGATATACAGTAGGTAGGGAGTATTTGAGTTCGAGCGCAACGGCCCATGTCCATCTGGCATCAACAATACACACGACACGGACAGGAATCCACAAGAACACCCACTCCCGCTTGATGAAAATAAAAGAAGCGCACTGCTTTCAGAGTCCAATTATTTTTGCAAGCTAGTGTGCAAAGAAGGAAGAAACGGATTAAATATGTAAGGATACCCAAATTATGCCCAGCCGGTCATCCTCAAACCGGCGATATGCTTAGGAAAAAAAAAAGGAAAAGGTAGGATAGAAATATCGAAGCGAGTGGCCAAGGCCGTCCGCGTCGCCTTGGGTCCCCAGATGAATCATGATGTGTTGTATACCCAATTGTGGCGCGTGCCATCATTCTTCATTCCGCACGTCAAAGGACAAATAACCTCCAAACTGAACGACAACGCAGCACCATTACCCTAATAGACATGCTTACCGTAGTCGCGGCTTGCACTACTCCGAAATAAACGTAGCTTCCATCAGGAGCTGGCCCTCTTCGGCAATTTCTTGATCTCCGATTTTGAGCTTCAGTGTCATCTTTGGTGTGTACTGAGGACCGAAAAAGTTGTGTGTCAGTGAGGAGAGCAGCATGGGGTCTTCAGCCGACGACGATGACTGTCGTATATATGACATACCTGATAGATATAGGGTTTTGTACCTGCCGCAGCAGCCACGATGGTCTTGACGAAGCCCGGCACTTCTGCCATGACATCAACGCGGTCACTTCTCTGGCCCAAGCTGCCTTCGATGGTAGCGCTGACTAGCTTGGCATCCTTATTGGTGCCTTCCCATGCCATCTTGACCGCACTGGGTTCCGGCCACTCGTTCTCCGTATCGTTCTTAACCTCGACATGAACGATCTCGTGGCCGGCGCCAGCAGTTAGAATCTCGCCATCCTTGGCGATACCACCCACGTTGACCAAGGTGGTGCCGTACGAGGCGGGTGTAGTAAATTCCATCATGATGGCAGAGTAGCTGGGGCCCTGGAAGCAGACAAAATTCCACTTGGCAGCAGCGTGGTGAGGCTTCATGCCCTGTAGCGCAAACGAATACATGGCGCGACCCTTGAAGTCGACTGGGCCATCGGGGGTGGTGATTGTACCCTCGGCGGCGCATCGTGGCCAAAAAATGTGCCGAATGCAGCCCCACGGTTTCTCGAGGTTGGTGCCGTACTTTGTGGTTCCGGTCTTGCCGGCGACGAAGCCAGGGGCAGTTCTAGTAATCTTGATATTGACGATTGATCTCTCATCGTTCATGCTCTTGATGGTATACTCGTTTCCGTCTTGCGAGAGTTCCAGGACGCAGTCATCGGCAAAACAGCCGGTCTGGTCCTCATTGAATCCAAAGTTATTCAGAGGGGTCGAGCACCACAAGTGAGGCTTGGATGCATCTTTGGAGAATATTTTGGAGTTGAACTGGCAGGTGGTCCGCATGCCGCTATTAGTCCAAAGGAAAGATGGTGCGATGTATTAGCTCAGAGTACATCCATGGTGGTCTTGAAGGTAAATCGCAAGACAAAAGAGGAGAAGAAGACGCTCCACGCACGCAACGTTACTATAGATGACTTGCACGAGACCAACGTCACCATTGTCTGACGCCAGATAAAAGGTCTGAGTCTCGACACAGGTCGAGTCCATGGCGTTCCATTTCAGGTCATCTCGGGTGATCTCCGTGTATGAGATGTCCTTTGCTTCTTCGGCGACGGATCTGATAGCCGACGGGCCATAGATGGGCTCCTGTGTGCCGGCGACGTTGGCCAGCCTGGCGACGGAGAGAACAGGATTCATGGGTTAGCTGAGACTGCGGAGCCATAGGGCGCAAGAGCCGGGGTATAAAGAGCTTCGCGCTTGTTCCAAACTTACTGTTGCTTTGCCCAGTTGAACATGATGTTGGGGGAGGAAAGCGTATCTATTTTGCTGCGAAAAGGAGGCAATGGTAGGGGAGGAATACGACAAGACGATCGATGCAAGTCTGCTGCGATGAGGAAGTGGGATGTGGAAATGCGCAGGGGGGCCCCTCACTGGCAGGGACTGGAAGGTGTGGCAGTAGCGCTGAGGAACAGAAGAGTGGCAGAGCAGTAGAGCAGAGCAACAGCGTGGCGTCGCCTGACGCATATGTAACCTCCTTGTACAAGTGGGGAAGCGAGGACCCGCGGGATGACCTCAGACTCAGAGGCTCAGAGTCCAGACTTCAGACTCTGGAGTCCAGAGTCCAGACGTTGCCGATGTTCATCAGCAAGCACGGAGAGCCTGGGTCCACAAATGAGTGGACCTGCCCATTCAAGACGAGATGTCGAGGGCATTTGTTGAACCGTGGTCAGACGCTTCACTCTAGAAAACAACGGCACGCGTCCACGGGTCGTAACACACTCTTTGCGCAATTTATCCTCTATCTACACTACTTAAAAGGGGTTCTCTACCTATCTTCTGGATCTCCTGCTCCTGAAGGCCCCGAGGGCTCGATCAC